TGTATATGCACCAATGTCCCTACCGTCTCTGTCCTACTGTCCCCATTTATTTGTATTCATGTCCTGTATTCATAATCATGTTTATACTTATATCTGTTATCTTATACATGCTTGACAAAATAAAATAAATAAATAAATAAATGATTAACTGATTAATAGATATGGAAAATATGTTTACAATGCTTCTAAAAGTATGCTTCCTCAAAGCATCCATCTCTACACCTCTATACAGGACATTATTATTAATAACTGTAAGTTAAAACTACAAATAAAATTATAACTGAAACAAAAAGAAATAAAGAATAAACAGCACTCACAAGTGCACACCTCTGGTAGCAGACAAATTAGCTTAAATGTCAAATGTCTGTCTATAATTTTAAGTACAAAAAACTTAAAATAGCATTCTTCTTGCTCTCCCACAGGAGGACATACTTTTTAAATGTTTTTATTTATTTTTTAAATGTTTAAAATAAAAATGCGTAATTTTTATAACTAAAAATATAGATATTTTTGTCAATCTGCTTTATGTATTTTAAACCATAAAGAGATTAGGGTTCTTGTTGGTGGTATAAACATTTAATAGTAATTAAAGATTATATACATTTTAATTTTAATTGTACATTTTTTGTTGGCTTCAAGTGGAAGTATATTTTCAATATAGCTCTTGTGGATTTTATCCAGTCTTGTATAACAGAAAGAAGCATAATTTTATGCAATATTTATTACAATATATTTTGTTTTTATGAAACTTTGATAATTTTGCATTCTTACAGCAACAAAAGAAGTAATGGAAGAGAGAATCTTCTTAACAAAAATCAGTACTCTATTCTTATTTCTTTCAATGTTAGCAATTGTATTCAAAAGTACAAGACAGGCACTTTATAATATTGGGCCCCCCTTTAAAAACATGTGCAACTTCCCCCCTACATACAGTTTTTAATACATTAATATTTGAATAAAAATAATTGGAAATTTTTAGGTAGCGACTTTTGACTTTTATCAGTGCAGTAAACTGACTTTTATCAGTGCAGTAAAATACAAAGAAAATTGCAACCTCAACCTTTTGCTTTACATTTCTAAATATCTCAAGTCATTTCTATAACAACAAGATTGTTCTAGTCATCAAAACTTAAAATCAAAGGAGTTTTTTCCCTGATTTGAGCAAAAAAATCCAGAAGCGATAATGCACTACTATTAAATGATTGCTTTTTATTCTATATCTGGACTTAAACAAAATGTAGACAAAATAAACAGATTTTATGCCTCCTGTTGCCCTTTAAAACCATTTAAATGTGGAACAATTGGATATCATAAAAGATTTAGATCTAGAATACCCACTGACATATAAAAATAAATCACATTTAGTGCTTTGTGCTTTGGCATGGGTCACGCATAACCCAAAGCCCTTATTCTTCAGAGTAGGAAGGACTAAGCACATTGTGTGGACTAACCATTCTTATTAGTAAACTATGATAGCTTGGTATAAGCCTATATCTTTGTTTCCTATGATCTCTGAAACCAAGTTCTCTGTTTCTCTCATTCTGTCATTTCACTTAAAACAAGTGAATATTTTTTTAATCAATGGATAATTCCAATTATTTTTAATTAAAAAATCCTATCTAATCCAGGATACAATTAAATTCTCTATCCTATCTGTCACTTTCCTTTATATAATAATTTTATTGAAGATTTAATAAACTTAGTAAAAAATAATACAAACTAAACTAAAGAAAAAAAGAAAAATGTGGGAAAGAAAAAGGCAACAAAAACAATAATAAAGAAGTGGCTTCCAACCTTTTGTACACTAAGCATAAGGTAATATTGTAACTATCCACACTTTTTGAAAGTTACAAGTAAACTAAACATCTTCCTTTAGCCTAATTTTTATCTATACACAATTCAGATATCATCCCTTTTTTGGAATCTAGTTCAGCAAAAAATCCATTAGAAATTATCAGAAATATCAAACAGTTTATCTCTGGTCAAATAGTCCACATTTATATTCCTCCTTTTTGCTCTGCTCAGTATCAATCTTTAAGTCTTTCCTATTTCATTTCGGGATCTGATCTTTCATCACTCTGGCATTTAAAACGCAGTGTTCAAAACTTTCATCAGCCGACTTTGAATTTCCATAAAGAGGCATCATCCTGATTTTCTTATTGTAACTGTTATACATTCAGATTCTTTTCTTGATTTGTCTTTTGTATTCCCATTTTGATAATCTCAATTTTGTTATTTCCATGTCTTCAAACTCTATAAAGTATGTGTCAGTTAAAAAAAACATTTAAATTAGTATTCTTTCTAAGGTATTAATTATTAATATTTCAGGTCATGTTTAAAACAACTAAGATAAGATAACTGGATTAGTCATTTTTGCTTGGTTCTTTAGTTCCCTCTAGTGTCCATTTGCAATTTTCATCAAGCCTCTGTTCTATTTCAGTCATTCAGTATATATTATTTAATTATATACTAGTTTTTCAAATCTTTCAACAAAAATAACTAATATTACAAATCTTTCTAGTCTCCCAAACCATTTAAAACTTTGTTAAATGCTTTGGGCTTTTTGCCAATTGTATATTATTTTAAATTGTGGTCTCTGTTTCAAATTTCTTATATCCAAAGTTGGTAAAACTCACCAGATGTCTAATTAAGATGACTGTTTTGAAGGCCCATAATGTCCACTAAGAAATTAAACATTTCTGAATGTGATCAGAAAATGAGACTGGTGTACTATCCTTATAAAAGGCTTCCCTGCTGCTGAGACAAAAGATGTTGTCTTCCTTGTTTCATGGTTCTCAAATCTGCAGGAGACGGCTGTTTAATACAGTCTCCACAGAGTACTTACGAGCAGTCTCCCCTTCTCTAGGGAGATTTGAAGGACTGTTGTACTCACCAGCCTTTTATCTTCACAGCGGTTATCATCTCCACTTGTTCACATAGATGTCTTCAGTCAGACATGACTCACACCAGAGACCCCCATTTTGTCACTTCCAACATACATTGCTTCTGTTTGCTGCATCTATTTGGAATGGATGTGAGTTTTTCTTTTCTTTTGTCTTTTACAAGTATTAAATAAGCATGTTATTTGGCTACTATGATTGTCCAAATAAGCTATTTCTGCTTCCTGAATTATATTTATTTATTTGAAGAACTATGCATTAAAAAATCATTGAATATAGTTAACACCATTCTCAAGATTCTTGGTGGTAGAGATACAGCCCTGTCCACATACTAATGTATTACTGTAAATTTTATACAGGCATTCAAGTATATATTAGGCAAGGCAGGGGTCTACAATCTTGTTCACCCAATATCTATTTTCATATTTGTCTTGAGTTTATATACAATAATTTCAAAGTTCAAACCAGGTTTGAACAATGCCATTTCTTTCTTTTCTTCCCTACACTAATTTTCATAAACTATGTAAAAAGAATCACAGAGCTGTCCATGGGAATGTACTTTCTGTATATTTACTGTTCTGATTTAGGCTTTCTAAGAAAGCATCATTTGGGATACAATCTTAGTCCCAATTCCTCTTTTATTGAGACAGCTGTGAATTATGGTCATTCACAGCCCATAATGATTCACAAACAGTCTGTGAAGATTCCGACAGATGTTTGCTCAAGTTGACACAGTCTTTCAGGGTAATGTTGATAAGCACCCACCTTTATCTCCCTTGAAACACTGCCAGAGACCTAATTGTCAATTAGTTTTGCAAGGCCAAATGGAGCACAGAGTCAAACGGACTTCTCAGAGCTTGAATTGACTATATGAACTAATTGCTTCTTGCAAAGGCTCATGTTCCGTTTGCTCCTCTTTTATGTCTTATGGGAGGGACCATTCCTCTTCAAGCCTTATTCCCGAGTCACCCTTTTTTTCCTTAATTGTTCTTACTTTCTGGCAGCTCTGCACATGCGCACACTGGGAACAAGCTCACACTGTTCTTCTGCCTCGCTGATGTCAAATTCCGGAGGCTCTGGAGGCAGCACATAACTACCAGATGGCCCTGGCCCTCTCTCTGCCTCCAATGCAGAGCCCTCATCCGAGCTTTCCCCAGGCTCCAGGACTGGCCCACGTTCCTCCTCACTGTCCAAATCTGCTGCCACTTCTGCTGGCCGCTGGCAGGCCAAGTGCTTATTTCAGGGTTCAAAAAAATATAAGACAGGGTCTTATTTTCGGGGAAACACGGTTGTAATTAAGTTCTTTTAATATATTGACAGTAGGAACTGTTTTTAAAACAGCATACAAGGCATAGGATTGTACTGCAAGTATGAAAATTCATAGTAAAATATGGATTTTATTGTAACAATGTTATTGTCCTACTAGTATACATTCAGATATTCCCTAAGCTCACATTCCCTTGTTTTCTAAGTAAAATTACAACCAACTCATCTGGCTTCTAATCTATTTTTTGAGTGTGATCAAGTTCATTTTCATTCCAGCAACACTGTTCACTGAACGTGAGTTCACTAAATATGTATCTGACTGTCCCTAAGATGGAGTACAACAATAATTTCCACGTAGTTCTAGAGACATGATTTATTGTTTTGGGATAGGTTCCATTTTCACCAAATAAATCTGAAATCTGAGAGTGCTTCTTGGACTAGATAGCCTCATGGATGCTGACTGTAGCTTTAGACAAGTGAGCACTTTATATGTAACATAGTAGTTGATATTCTAGCTGTAACTTTCCTTTATAAAACAGTTTTCTCATAAGATATCTTCTGTATAATATCTATGTGCCCGTGTTGTATAGCTATGGCATTATTATTATCCTTATCTTCTTTAGTACCCCCTTTTATTGGGATGATGATGATGATAATAATGATGCTTTGCATTGCACTAAGAGCTTCTGCTCTGAAGCCAAATTTCTTGTATGTCACACTTAGCCAAATAAAGTCTAGTCTAGTCTAGTCTAGTCTTGTCTTGCCTTGCCTTGCCTTGTCTTGTCTTCCATTCCATTCCATTCCATTCCATTCCATTCCATTCCATTCCATTCCATTCCATTCCATTCTCTAGCTGTTGGAGGTGTGAATCCAATAGTACTGATTCTTCAATACTTCATGACCTAGTGACTGTAAGGGGATAGAGTGGTATTAATACAGAGCTAAGAATTTCTCTGAGACCCTTTTTGTCTGTCATTCTGCTCTTTTGTTTCACAAGATTGATGATTCCACTACTTTCTGCTTTTCTTCCCAGAAATATACAGAGGCACACAGAGCACATGCTCTTGGACTCTCCTCCTGGAAACTCATTTTGTAATTACCTGAAGTGCTAGACTCTTCCTATTCTTATTAACCATTGCTTGTAAATAAATCACCTTCTGTTACAATTATAAAAGTTTCAGATTCCTGCTCCCAGTAATGTTCACATGCATGTTTAGGAATTTCAGTTTCCATAGTTAGAGGCTTAAGCCTTTTCTTTCCCCATAAGCATAAGCCATTTTGCTCTACTAGCACTCCGTATGCTAGGTTCTTTCCAGCCCTATCTTCTGCCTGTCTCCTCCTTTTGAAACAATTTTTTCTGCAGGCCTCCACTAAAATACTGGAACGGTAAACATAGTCCTCAACTTTATTTGTGGAAGAAAAGAGGTTGTATTACTCATATACTATTTAAACTGCATTTTGAAATGACCTCCACTATTATTTTAAGGAAGTGGGGATATTTTTACCCTATTCCACTTAATCACATTCTTAAATCTGTATTTATTTTTAGGTACGATAGCCTATTTTCCCTTTATTGTAGTGTACAAAAATAGTGAGGGATACCAAATAATGAGGGAGCTTGTGGCTTTAGATAGTTTCTCAATTTTTCACAGAATATTTTGTCAATTTCAATAATTTTCTCCCTATTCCTAGTGAAATAAGCAATCTGATTGCTCAACTGTTAGTCAGTTTCAATTATTTCAGGCTCATGAGAGTATATAGTGATGGCAGGATCTGTAATCCTCTCTCTGACACTATATCTGCTTTAGTATCTTTCCATATCTTCATTTATTTCATATTATTTTTAATTCAATAGTGGATAAAGGCCATAAATGGGGCAATAATCAGCTATCCTAAGTGTAGGAGAAACTGCTCCCACTTATTACAGAGATAAAATTTGATCGATATAGGAGAGAAATGAGATAGACACGAAGCTACATTTAAGGAGTATATGCTCCTCACCCGTTTTTTTACAACTGTGGAACAACTGGCACTGAGTAAAGTTTGCTGTTGGATGCTAGAACTTGAAAGTTTGTGATAGGTTAACCATTAGGAATATAGTTATAGAATTTTTTTAAGCTGATTGAGGACAAAATTCCTTTGTGTACAGGTTTACATTTTCCTTGTTTTCTGTCATGAACATTTTCTTTCCTCCCACGTATATCTCCATATGATATAGCCTTTACAAAACCAAAACTCTCTGGTCTTCGATGTGGAGTTTTCTTAGTGATGATGCCATTAACAACTGTGTTCTCATGATACCATCTTTGTAATGTAAATAATGTGCTAAATATTTTCTTCCCAAAATTTATACCCATAGGCTTCTCTTTGGAGGCATGGGCCAGGCATCTCAGTTTCAGACAGTTCCCTGGAACCAATAGAATTGATGCCTCTTCCACATACCACGTATTTTAGTTTGCAGTCACTATTTTCTATTCTCCACAGGACATAGGGGTGAGTACATGGTACACTAAACGTTCATGTGGCTTAACAGAAAAGGGATCCTCCCAGTGCCCTGCTTGCATCTGATTCCTGAGTTGAGTTTGGAAACCATGCGTTCATTTCACCACTCCTAGGGAGGAGCAAGTGGGACAGGCAGGTAGTGAGTCAGATATGTTTACTGCCAAGCCATATGGCTAAGTGTGTCATTTGAAAAAGCCAGGGCATTACTGTTGTATATTAGCATTAATAAAGCCATGTTTTATATTTTGGATTGTTTTTTAAAAACTTTTGATAGCTATGTGTTTATCTGAATAGAAGTACAAATAATTATTAAAAATAACAACTGGGTGAAGATTGAGTGATTATTGGGGAAGTCAAAGTGTGAGGGCCACCCAGTGCAAGAAAAAATCCACCAGAGGATATTTTGGCAAAGGTTCCCAAAGGTCAAGAAAAAAGTCTCTTTCTACAGTACTTGGATGAAAATACATTATTGTTGTCTCTCAATTTTTTCCAGAAAGAGAAATAATGGAAAATTCTAATAGCTTAAACCATATTAATATTTAACAGAATCAAAGCATTGTTTTATTTTCTTATAATTTTATTTCAATATAACTTCTTAGGCAAGCTTAATATTAAAAGGCATGCTATGATTTTTATAGTACTCTCAGCTATGGATATTAGGTATTTCTGTACAAAGCCACTAGGTGTCATAATTTTCTTTAGCTCATTCCACATTAGTAAGTTCTAACCAGCAACTCTGGACAATTAACAGTTCACTTAAATTCAGTGAAATAAATTATAAATATACAAAACTGTTATCAGGATTTTTCTTAATTTTTCCTTGTTTTCTCATATAACATTACCACATGTATTAATATAATTGGCAGGCTTATACAACACACAGAGCTAAAACAACAGAGGATGGTTTCATTTAATATTTAAGCTGCTATAAAGTAACCCATATCTTACTTAAATGCAGTATGTTATATAAATACCTTCTTGAAAGGAAAATAGGTAGGTAGGTAGGGAGAGAGAGAGAGAGACAGACAGACAGACAGATTGATTCATTTATGGCATTTTTATTCTACTCATCAGTTAAAAAATCCAGAAACAACATTTTCAATGAATTAAAAAGAGGATTATCCAAAAATTGTTCTTGCCTTCATGCCTCTCAGCTATTTTTTCAGGATGTATTAAGTTAAAACATTAAATGGATATGTGCATGACACCATTTTACCCTCCATGTACTGGACTTTAATTAATCAATGAGACTTATGATGCTATCAGAATTCAAAATCCCTATCACTAGGGGCTAAATTGGTGGGATCCAGTGGAGTGCATGAAAGTACAAATAAAAATGAATAAATGATGTGGGATGAAACTGAAGTTCAAGATGCTAGAAGGAGTATTTTAAAGATTTGAGGGTATGAAGAATGGAATTGAAATAAATGTGATAAATATTAGTGTCCAAGAAAAGACTGATGGAAATATTCATAAATATTATGAGGAGGTGGAAAAAAATGATAAGGCTGTTGGAAAGAGGGTGTAAGTGATCTTTAAACATTAAGATATGGATGTGGCTTGCTTATTGGAATGGTTGTTGAACTTGTTTAACAGGTTTGTGAAGACTGCATTTCTGTCCAGAACTGTGATTGAAAGGATACAAGATGTAACAAAGAGCAAAATGTGCAAGTTTATACCAAGCAGAGAGTGTGCAGTCTACTCAGTCTCTTGGCAGACACTGAGAAATGTATTAAAATCAAAAATAAAGCTAATTGCATGTTCATTGATTCAGAAAAAGGATGTGACAAAATGAATAATTTTGAATTATTGAATGTTTTACATGAGTTTGAAGATTGATGAATGTGATAAAAATGATGTAGGATGAAAACCAAGCATATATAAGAGTAAATGGAAGGAAGACAATCTTGTATGATGTGCCTTTCTTTGTTAAATGATAGGTGTATAAGGAATGTTTGCGGTGACATTAGAAGTATGTTGATTGGGAAATAAATATACCATATTTTTCGGAGTATAAGATGCTCCGGAGTATAAGACACACATTAGTTTTGGGGGAGGAAAACAAGAAAAAAAAATTCTCCCTCTGCCTACCAGCATCCATTGGTATTCATCTGGCTAGCATCTTTGCAGCAAACAGCAAACAGCCTGGTCAGGTTCAGCACGTTATCGCAGCCTGATTTAGCACAAACAGCTGATTGGTGGTTGGATCAGCCTCCTGGAATACTGCTAATCAGCTGTTCCAGGCTGCGGGGATAGCCAGAGCCCATTGCCACCTCTGTGCGTCGTGTTTTTGGCTTCTGCACATTGCGTTTTTTGCCTTCACATGCTCTGTTTTAGACTCATTGCAGGCTGCGGGGATCTCCACAGCACATTGGTGGCGGCGATCCCCGCTGCCTGGAACTGCCTGGAACATACCGAGATAGTAATAGGCAGCGATGTGCTGTGGCAATCCCCGCAGCCTGGAACAGGTCTAAAACAGGGCATGCAGAGGTTGAAAACTCAATGCGCAGAGGCCAAAAATGGCCAAAGGGTGGGGGCTGGTGGATGGGTGGGGCTTCGGCAACATTCGATGTATAAGACGTATTGCATTTTCACTCACTTTTAGGAAGTGTGTCTTATACTCCGAAAAGTATGATATATGAATTTTGTATGCAGATGATACTATGTTGTTGGCTGAAAAGCAGAATATTTGTTGTGAATGTTAGAGAGATTTTATTTTCTTTATCAAATTTGGACACTGCCAATGTCACTAGGTAAGTGATTCTGGATAATCACAAACCATAAAAATATATTTAAAAACAGAATTAAAAAATAGAATTAAAGTGTGAAATAAAATAAGAAAAAAGTTTAACAGGCAAGTTAAAAGACAGAGGGAACAACCTCAAGCCACCAATCAACCTCAGGTTGGCCACTCTTGTCCCATGTGCCACTCTTCAGTGCCATGCCAGTTGCCAAAGCCAGGTCTTCATGCTCTTCCAAAAGGGCTAACAATGGGGCCAACTTCACCTCTGGGGGCAAAATATTCCATAGGGCAGGAGAAACATCAGAGAAGGCTCTTTTCCTAGACCTAGACCCTGTCAGACAAAATTCTTTAATTGACAGGGTCCATAACATACTCTGTCTCCCTAACTGGTGGGACAGGTCAATGTAATTGGGACAAAACAGTTCCTCAAGTAACCTAGTCCCATGCCATGTAAGGTTTTAAAGATAATACCCAACACTCTGAATTTGACACAGAAGCAAACTGAGACCCAATGCAACTCACACAGCAGAGATGTTACATGCATTCAAATCTGCTTATGCAGACACATTCTACACCAGCTGCAGCTTCTGGATACTCTTCAAGGATAGCCCCATGGAGACCACATTGCACAATCCATATGGGTGATAATAGGGCATGAGTGGCTGAGAGGAGGGCCTCTTGATACAGGAAGGGGCACATTTGACACATAATAAAAAAATTGTGTTCTAAGACCTCACATGAGTTCCAACAATCAAACGTTTAGACCCAGAAAAAGAAATTTATCCTCATTTGTCCTGTATTCTTGATTAAGGTCTTGCTCAGAATTGAATTTGTTCTTCATATTGCCCTATGTTTTGGACCAGAAGTGAAATGCTCCCGGTTCAGACCGGATCACCCGATCCGGTAGCGATGGCAGCGGGTGGTTCGGAGAACCGGTAGCAAAAATCCCTGTGCCTCCCCCCCCCACAACCATGCCCAGCTGAGCCACACAATCATCAAAGGCTTTTTTTTTACTTTTAAAAGCATTTTTTCTACAACCTCTTCCAAAGAAAAAATGCTTTTAAAAGTAAAAAAAAAAAGGCCTCTGATGATCACGCGGCTCAGCTGGGATCATCAGAGGCTTTTCAAAGCATTTTTTTCTGCAACCTCTTGGCCAAAGAGGTAGTAAAAAAAATGCTTTGAAAAGTCTCTGGCAACTCCCAGCTGAGTTGCTTGATCAGCAGAGAGGTATTTTTTAAAATGCCTCTCTGACGATCCCAGCTGAGTTACCTGATTGGCAGAGGCTTTTCAAAGCATTAGAAAAAATGCTTTGAAAAGTTTTTTTTAAAAAAGTTGGCCACGCCCCCCAGTCACATTACCCCACCACCACCAAGCCACGCCCACAGAACTGGTAGTAACAAATTTTACATTTCACCCCTGTTTTGGACCCAACTATATATTTTCTCATGCTTGGATTTGTTTTGGCCAAATTGTATTATTTAACCCAGCATATAAAATATAGGAAGTAAAATATAGCAGCCTTGGACTATGGAATGCCAAGCGGCTTTCAAAAAGCTTAAACGGCTTTTTGTGGCGGAGCTAACCCTTAAATACCCGAACCCAGAGAAACTGTTTATAATACAAGCCGATGCGAGTGATGTGGCGGTGGGGGCTGTCCTGTCCTGCTCCAAAGAAATGCAAAGGGGACGGTGCAACCCTGCCCCTATATTTCCTGGAAATTGACTGGCAGTGAAAGACATTGGGCAGTGTGGGAAAAGGAAGGGTATGCTGTTCGATGGGCACTGCTGATTGGATGCAGTTCCTAGAAGGCAGTAAGATTCCGTTTGAAGTGTGGACTGACCCATGTTCAACTGCTGTTCACATGGAACCCTTCTCCACTTCGCCCTTCAAAGTTCTCATTTGAATATTTGCTACTCCCACCAAGATCTGAACCCAGTGGCTCCACCCGCGCCCGCACCCAGGGCTTCAAGGCTCACTGCAGTGGCCGCTTACTTGTTGCCAATTTTGACAAACCAAATATTGATGTAAATTTCATTTCATTCATTTCATTTATTGGATTTATATACCGCCCTACTCCCGAAGGACTCAGGGCGGTGAACAGCCACAGAATAAAACACATAAATACAAAATTTAAAAACAGAATAAAACCGAATTAAACAATTGGCCAAGACAAATTTAAAACACCCAATAATTTAAAAAACAAATTAAAATTTACATTTTAAAGGGGAAAGATTTAGGCCAGGCCGGCTTGATGGAATAAAAAAGTCTGGAGAGCACGACGGAAGGTATCTAATTTGCTTTGTTTTTGTTTTTCTATGTTTCATCCCTTAAAATCCTAATATTGTTATCTGAACAAAAATATTACAAGTATTAAAACTTTTAAAAGCCTTGGAAAATAAGTTTTGATTACTGCTCAAAATATTTAATTATACAGACCATGTTAGTCTCCTGTGGAGAGCAATGTTATTATCACAGAGAATTCCTACAATGTTTAATAAACCAAAAGAACATACTAAGATATGAAGTTTTATGAATGTTCTGGTTTCAGAAAAAATATGTAAATATCCACAGTCCCTAAAGAAAGATAATCCGGCTTCCACAGTGTCCATTTAACAAGCCTTACATTAATTGAAAAAGGTTAGAAAGTTACCTTTCAATTTTCATAGTATAAATGTAAATAAATACAATTACTTTCATAGAAAAATATTATTTTCATTACATATGATCAGATGAGATAATGCTATTGCCATTCCATGCACAATAGTATGTCACACATATTCAATGTAAGAACACTTTTTTTTTTTTTTTAAAGGTGGTTGGTGAATGATGAAATCTGGTTAGAGGAGTTTATCATCCTTCTCAGCAGTTTCTTTTTCTAACTTGTTTATGACTCCTCTACATATATACATAAGCCTTCTTGCATCCTGCTTTCTTTTCCTGAGTACTTCACAAATATTTTCAATGAAGGAAGAACAATATAATGGTTAAAAATACAGCTAGTCCTTGAGTTATGACTGTAATTGAGCAGTTGTATTTTATGAAGTTTTTAACGGCTGTCTTTAAGCAAACACTGCAGTTGTTAAGCAAACCCATCATTTGCTGTCGTGTGATTTTGCTGAAAACGAGAAGTAAGTGTTGGTTTTTGGCCATCTCCACTTCTCTCATACATACGTTCTTACATTTACACTCACAGGCTGGCTTTGCAGCTGCCTTTGACAACTGAGCCACACCCTGGAGTTTTCAAGGACATGTAGGTGTCCATAGGCACCCTCACCCCACCAAGGCCCTTAGCTTACAAAAACAAATTCTAAAACAGAGTGGAAAAGGGAGGAAAGGTGATAAACAAACTGCAAACAGATAAGGAAATGAAAGCGATCTCTGGAGACTGACAGCTATCACAAGCAGGCAAGCAGACTATCATTAGCTGCCAGAATCACAAACTATGGTGAGCAGCATATCTTGATGGGAGTCCTACCTTGAGCTTGGAGCTTTGCCAAGAGCTCTATAACAGCTGGAAAAAGAGCAACCATACTGAGATTGTATCTCATCCTAACTAGTGTAAGAACATTTGGAGAAAGACAATAGTTGTGTATAGATTTGGAGACTTGTTTGAACTGAATATAGAAATACTGAGCATAAAGGACTGACATTAAAAACATGTTTATGTGGTAACATCACCTTGCAAAACCTAAAAGGGTGGAGCTGACCTAGAGCAATAGCCTGTTGTTAGGGAAGTTGTGTGCTGCAATAAAGCATTGTGTACGGATTTGCTACGCTGTGGTGTGTCCAGTCCTTGGAAAGCAAAGAACCTTTACACAACACAGTCCCCTTGTTAATCTTAGAAAAAAGTACAGTAAATTAAATGAAAGAAAGTTCCAATTGTATGAATAAGTCTGTGAGAAAGAGGATGAGAGAGGGAATGTGTGTGCATGAACAGCAGGTCTATGAGAAAAGAAGGGAAGAATGTTGTCAATTCTTTGCTTCTGGTTTAGGAGATAGGTAAATAGTATT